GATTTTGGTATTTGCACACAATGGCTCTTTGCCTTACATATGGTCCTTGGAGCCATCTGGGTGGCCGAAACTCTTAGCAATCTTGGCATTTAAGTATATTACTGAAACCATTTAAGTCAGGGGACTGTAACCTTGGCCCCTTTAATCCTGGCAGACTTCAACTCCCAAAATTCCGGTTGGATCTCCTGTTCAGTCCAACAGGATCCTGTTTTGCCAGTGCATTTTATTTATATTTATTTATCAGGTTTGTTAAGATGATCCAACTCCACAAAACCTTTGAACAGCTCATAAAAAGTTAAATGAGTGTGGACCTTAAAAAAAAAAAGGAAATTATAGCTGGAGGCAGTTAAAGACTTGAGAAAACTTGCTTCTCCAAGCGGAATTGCGTCTCAATGAAGTTGGCATTGAGGACGACCCTATTCCTTGCACATTTCCCTTTCTCGCGGGATTATTCCCAGTCCGAGGTTCAAAGAAAGCCACCTCTTATCTTTAAGGATGTTTTCTTCCGGGAAGCTTCCAAGAAGAGACTGGATCGCCATCTGTCAGAAATGGTGTAGGGTCTCCTGCTTGGGCAGCGGCCCAGGGGTGGGGGTTGAGCTAGATGACCTCCAAGGTCCCTTCCAACTCTGTTCCTCTGCAATCTGAAGGAATTTTTGTGGCTATTGATGGCACTTTTTTTTTTTTAAAAAAAGCTGTTTTTGAATACTTTCCTTTAAATTAAAAAGAACAGCAGCCACAATCAATAAACAAATAAAAGCAAGCAGGCAGGGAACAAAGAGCTTCTTTCGGCCTCTTTTAAGTGGCAGCTGCAGATGGCCGAGTGTCCTCTTGACCAGAAGGAAAACCGAGGAAGAAGTAAAGCTGGCTTGGTTATCCTTTCGGAGAGCTTGGCGGCTCTGGAAGCCTGGTGGGAAAAATCCTGCCTCGTTGGCTAAATTCTTCCGTGTTTCTTCCTCCTCCTCCTCCTCCTGAGACGGGCCAGTTGACCTTTTGGATCTCACGCTTCTTAACAGCATCCCATCATCCCTTCAGTTGCGTGAGTCACCCAGCCTGCCTTCTCCTCCCCCACCCCCGAATAAATAAGGAATAAGATGCTATCTGGGCGATCCAGCAGACGGAATTTCGTGGCTTGCTCGGAAGTAGCTCGTTTTGGCCAAGGTCCCAATGGCCGCCTCCTCCTCCTCCTCCTCCTCTTCCTCCTGCTCTTCGGTTTTTGTTTTGTTTTAAAAAAAAGATGGACGTTTCACACCTGTTTTCACCTTTCAAACCACAGCTGGGCAGGCAGGGGGCCTTTAATTTCCCAAGCATCTGGGCTGGGAAGGCAGCCCCTGCTGAAAACCCAGAAGCTGCCTTGCTTCGGGCTGAAAGCAGCTGGAGAGATGGGAGAAAGTGGTGGCTGCGCCTACTCCTGCTTTGCCAAGAAAAATGAGAGGGGGGAGGATGGAGAGCGACGTGTTTTTCAGCCAGGGGCGTGCCCCCCCCCCTCCATATCTCTCCGGAAGACAAGCCTGGTGATCCAGATGCTTCAGGGATACCTAGGAACTCAACCTCTGGTGGCAAAAGCCCCCAGATGTGACCCGGCCAGATCAATTGTTTTACTGCAGAGCCAGATCGATGCCATCTCTGTGCAGAAGATGATCTGCCTGTTGCGGGAGACAGAAACCAAACCCTGAATCAGGGGTGTCCAACCTTGGCAACTTTTAAGACTTGTGGACTTCCACTCCCAGAATTCCTGAGCTAACATGACTGGAGGAGGAATTCTGGGATTGGAAGTCCACAAAGTCTTACAGCTGTCAACTTTGAAGACCCCTGGTTCAAAGCAAGGAGTCAAGGTTGGACACCCCTGCCCTAAATGTAGGCTGGCTCCAGGGTTGAGATTCTAGGCCTTTTTCAAGTTCACAGTCAGTCCCTTTCCTGGCCTTGAGAGCTGGAGCATCTGCTCGGCATCTGCTATAATGATGGTGGCTGGATTGGGACCGTTTGGTTCCTGCCTCACCCGCTTGAACACTGAATATTTCACTATTTGTGATGATAATCGGTTGCTGGTTATCTCTTCCTAATGGCTGCTACCCCCCCCCCTCTCTCTCTCCCTTTCTCTGTCTCTCTCTCTCTATATATATATATCTCCGTCTCTCTGTCTCTGTTTCTCTCTCTCTCTCTGCTTCTCCTTCTCTCTCCCTCTCTGTCTCTCTCACCACAGCAATTTTCTCCATCTCCGCTCTATTTCAAAAGTGCTGAATAGACGGTGTTTATACTGGGTTGCACGGATGCCTCCACACCCCGAGAGTGTGCCCCAGAAATGTTGTGTGTTGTGATTTCGGGCCATTTTGTGGGTTTCTGGGCGGTTTCTAGAATGCCTCCTCCTCCTCCTCCTCCTCTCCAGAATGAAAGAGGCCTTGTGCCACCCCATGGCCTCCAGCACACCCTTTGCAGGGTAGAATGTGGTGAAACCGTGCACGGTGGGAGCATCGATTGTGGTTTGGCTCTAAGGCCCGTGGCTTCTTTAGTGGGATTGAACCGTGGATCCGAGGTGGTGCCATCCAACGAAGACCTGGGGATGATTTTGGGAAGTCCAGGCTCTCTCGGGAGGTTCTTAGGCTGCACCTGCATCTACGCTGAAAGGGCAGGGTTACTAATTGTGACTTGTGAGTCGCAGGCATTAAACTGACTGACTCTGCAGGGGAAAATGTTGTCTTTTTGTGGCTTTGATCCTCTCTCTTCACTCCAAGCATCCCTGCCTAATGCAAGTCAACGGAGCAGGAAAACACCAGGTGAAACCACGCTTGAGTTTGCCTAATGACCTGTTCCTGTGAATGTGTTCCCGCCTTGGATTTTGCTGGGTTGAAATTTGCCCCCTTGGACAGTGGTGCTTCCTTCCTCGTTTGCACCTCTAGAAAAAAAAAAGGCTTTCAACAGATACATGCGATGCGCTCCTCCAGATGCGTCCCCAGATGTCAGTTTGGAGGAGGAGGAGGAGGAACCATCCCCAGGCATGTCGGGAGGGGAGCTGGTCATTGGCTGTGAAGCAGGGGTTGCGAGTCCGAGTGAGAGGGAGTGGCTGATGGGAGAGAAACTGCTGGTTGGGAGGGAATTGGAGGAAGCGCCGCTGCAGCCGGAGAGCCCCGAGGCTTCAGGGTGGGGAAGCGCGCAGCTACAGCCGTTCAGGGATGAGAAAGGGGAACTGCCTTCTGCAGCTGATCCAAGGACACGTAGGGAAGACACAAGGAGCAGGAGCAGTGAAGGTCACCCTGATTACACGTGAGGAGGCAGCCTCATCTTCTGAGAGGGATCTTGGAGTCTTGGTGGACAACCAGCTAAATAGGAGCTGGCCGTGGGCAGCCGCCGCCAAAAAAGCTAAGTTGCATTAACAGAGGGATACAATCGAGATCAAGTGATGTACTAATACCACTCTATAAAGCCTTAGTAAGAGCACACCTAGAGTACTACATCCAGTTTTGGTCACCACATTATAGAAAAGACGTTGAGATTCTGGAAAGAGTGCAGAGAAGAGCAACCAGGATGATGAGGGGACTGGAGACTAAAACATACGATGAACGATTGCAGGAACTGGGCCTGGCTAGTCTAGGGAAGAGAAGGACCAGGGGAGGCAGGAGAGCATCTTCCAATATTGAGAGGAGGAGGGTGTCAAGCTATTCTCCAAAGCCCCTGAGGGCCAGACAAGGAATAATGGATGGAAACTGAACAAGGAGAGATTCGACCTGGAAATGAGGAGGAATTTTCTGAGAGGGAGAATGATCAACTCCTGGAAAAGACGTTGCCCTCGGAAGTTGTGGGAGCTTCAACCCTGGAAGCTTTCAAGAAGAGGCTGGACTGCCATCTATCAGAAATGGTATAGGGTCTCCTGCTTGGGCGGGGGGTTTGACTAGATGACCTACAAGGTCCCTTCCAACTCTGATTATTTGTTAAATCCCTCTTGAGGGGCTGCACCAGAAGTTGGCTGTTTAGCACAGCAGACAATTGGAGACAATGTGGGGAACGAAACGTTCACTTCCTAGCTGCATGTTTCCTGGTTGTTGCAATTCCTGACTCACTTTGGATCATGTTTTGTGAATTCTGGACTTTTCTTGCCTCCTGAGCCCTCGTGTATTGTGGATTTAATTTTGCCTGATGGATTTATCTTGTTTGGGAAACTTTCAAGGGCCTTGTGGATTCCTTGGCCATTGCTCTGTGGACTAGCATTGGCCTGCTTTGGGCTGGATTTAATTGGGACAGCGCTGGGTTTTTGATGAAGGGAATTGCTGTGGAATATTAATAAAGCCACTAAATCATCATGACAGGTGCGTGTGAGTGAGCAGGACAGCACAATATTACCTGGGGTGGCTGACAGAACATCCTGGTAGCTGCTTTAGGAGTCTTCATGGTGGGAAAAGCATGCACAAATTCCTCTTTTTTGTTTTGCTCTTGCCGTTTTGGAAACATTAGACCTATTTAAAAATTGAATTTAAACTGCTTGAATTCATACTGTATTCACTTTCATATTTATTTGATTTAAAACACGTGTGCCTTTAAATTATTTGAACTTTGCTGTTGAAAATGGCAGGTATACAATCTGTTGGTAGCCTGAAAAAAATGTCGGAGGGAAGGGAATGGAAAGGAAAGAAGGAGCGGGAAGATAATTCAGGCACCCCTTCTCAAACTAAAAGGGAATTCCGGAGTAATGATCAACTGGATCTTGTTCCAGAATGAGGACTTGGGTTTTCCAGTAGGGTGGACAGCTTGACTCTGCTCCCAAACTCTTATTCCTTATAGATTGTGAAATATAAATGGTGCTCTCAATTGCCTTATTTAAGCAAAACACCGCAATTCCAATAATCTTACTAATTTTAATCTTGGAAAACTCTGCATAAAGAGCACCATTAGGACTTGTAGGCATCTAAAGGGATCCCTCCACTGTTCCCACCCCAATTCAAGTGGTTCCTTACTCCCACGGCCAGCTCCATAGTTAGAGTATGCTAGCTGAGCTTGGTCCTCTCTTGCCTTTCTCAGGGGGCTTCGCTATCGTATTTCTGGTGAGGACCAGCAATGGGATGAAATGTGCCCTCAAACGGATGTACGTGAACAACGAATACGATCTGCAAGTTTGCAAGCAGGAAATCCAGATTATGGTGAGTATGTGGAGCCCTCGTGATGCCGCCTTATGGTATATGTTTACATGGGGACGAAAAGCATTTTTAAGAGACAGAGCGGGGGAAAAACAGCGGTTAATGAGAGAGGTCGTGCTTTGATTATTCAAAAAATAAAGGCATGAAATGGACAAATTGACTTCAATGGTACAAAAGAGAGAGGAGTCTGAATACTATAGAATTTGGAGAAAATAGTATAATTGGATTGAATGAAGACAGAAAATGAAGGAATTAAAGATAAGCAACTTATAGATTAAATGTGTATATTCGCACAAATTTGTATATATTTGTAAATATGCACAAAAGATAGAAATGTACGAGATGGATGTCACAAAACTGTTAACATCGCGATATTTTTTGTTTTATTTTTAAAATATGCAAAAGACTAATAAAGTTTATTTAAAAGAGAGAGAGAGAGAGAGGCGTCGTGCAACGCTTGTTGATCTTTTAAACCTTGAAGGAGAGGTTTGTTTAAACTCCAGCAACTTGGAACTGGGGCACGGAGATCAGATGTAAGGCTAAGGGTCAAGGAACAATCAGCAAACAGGCTGGTTAAAAGGGGAAAAAAATACCAGGGATTTCCTTTGCTCGGTTAGGAAATTAGTGGTCTTGCGTGCAGGTTTATGGCTGTGGCTCACAGTAAAAGTGTGCCTTTTGCTCTTTTTCCAGAGGGATCTTGCGGGGCACAAGAACATTGTTGGGTACATTGACTCCACAATAAATTCAGTGAGCAGCGGAGATGTATGGGAAGTCCTAATCTTAATGGATTTTTGCCGAGGTATGGAAACATTCGTGGGAACCATATTTGCAAGCCATCTACTATTCCAGAGGCCTCCGAACTTGGCCACTTTAAGGCGGGGGGACTTCAACTCCCAGAATCCTCCAGCCAGCTGTGCTTGTTGAAGTCCACCCGTCTTAAAGTGGCCAAGTGTGAGGACCCCTGGGCTAAAACGACGACGTCGTCGTTCAAGCCAGGCCCTCAACCGTTCGGCATAATAAGCTGGCTTGCTTCGGGGGTCAAGTGAACGTGGGAGTCGTTTTGTTGAACCTGGATTTCGAGCAGGCGTGTGCTTTAAACGCCGGGTGGCTTTTGGGGCAAATCCTTCCCTTCCTTCCTCTCCTCCAGGAGGCCAAGTAGTGAATTTGATGAACCAGCGCTTGCAGACGGGGTTCACGGAAAATGAAGTCCTGCAAATCTTTTGCGACACCTGCGAAGCGGTGGCCAGGCTGCACCAGTTCAAATCGCCCATCGTCCACAGGGATCTGAAGGTAGCGATGGCGGGATCTGGTGCAAAGGCCTGGGCGCGGTTGGGTGGGTCGTAAGAGGAATGGCACAAAGCCTGCTGCTGCCTTTCAACCCGGACAAGCTTGAAGGATCTCCTCCAGCTGGCAAGAGGGTTACACACAGGATGGCAGGAGTGGTAGATTAGGCCACTTTTCAAAGCATTGGGACATAACACATGCAGTCCTTGTTTAGCAACCGCAATTGGGACCAGCAACCTGGTCATTAAGCAAAGCATTCAGTGAAGCGAAGTGGCTGCGAAGGGAAACCCCCACTGTATTTACGATCTTCCCTCCGCTCTCCTTTGCGTTACAGACGGCAAAAGGTTGCAAACGTGTAGATTGGCCGCCAAGCTTATTTTTTCATCCCAGTGAAATTGCTCCCCTGCAGGGAGTAAAAACTCTGAAAATACATCAGCAAAACTCTTGGCTTAATTCATTACATTTATGTAGTTGCCCGTCTCATCTAGCGCATTGAGTAACATCCCGTATGAATGACTCCTTGACAATTAAAAGAGGACGAGAACAGAATAAAGGCCCCACCAAGGATAGCTCTGGGCCAAGAACATCCAACTGAGCTCAGGTAGGAAATCCCTGGAGTATGTCAGGAACCGGTTTAGCTTGAAGTGTTTCTCCCGTTGAGATACCTGGTTCTGGGCAGCACACGCTCCAGAAGTTATCCATTATCCAAAACAAACAAAAACAAACCACCACTGCTCACCTGTTGGCCCTGAGCTTATCGCAGCTACCTGCCTGTTTCGTTTCCAGGTGGAGAACGTCCTGTTACACGATCGTGGCCACTATGTCCTCTGCGACTTTGGGAGCGCCACCAATAAATCGCAGAATCCTCAACTGGAAGGAGTGAACGTAGTGGAGGAAGAAATTAAGAAGTGAGTCTGCCTGTTTTCAAGGTTTTTTTTTTTTTAAAGACTTTTTGTACCTAAAACATTTTACATCTATCAGACTCGCAATAATGCCACAGTTTCTCTCAGGTGCTTCATGGCTGCGTTGATCCATGCACACCCGTATGAATCCCAATATCCAGTTGTGTAAGCTTTGAATATGAGTAGCAACTACAATATCCCACAGGTTTAAGATTTTAAGTAAGGAAAGAAAGAGTTCAGGATTAACCAGCCAGATTTAGAAACTAAGGGCCAATGGGGTCATCAGGCATTCCAGAAAAAGCAAATATTTCTATCTTTTGAGGAATTTTGAAAAAACTACAGCAAAGTGAGAATATTTGAATGCTTTGAGAATTAGACGAGAAACTAATCAAGGAGAGGTCCAACTAAGGAGGAATTTCCTGACAGTGAATACAATTAATCATTAGAACGGCTTGCTTTCAGAAGTTGTGAATGGTCCATCACTGGAGGCTTTTAAAGAAGAGATCGGATAGCTTTTTGTTCAGAACAGTATAGGTTGGACTAGAAGACCTCCGAGGCCCCTTCCAACTCTGTTATTCTGTTATTTCAGGCTAGGAACTGCCAAGTTTTCTGATGAACATTTGAAAGATTACTTGATGGCCACATGGCAGAAGTTTAAAATAAATAATCATTCCCACTGAATATGAGATCCTGAGAATGAGCCTTTGTATGGTTACTCTTTATTGCTGGTGGAATTTCTAGCATGTACATAAAAGGAAGATGAAATTGGAATAAAGATGTTGACAGACTCCTAGGATTTTAATAATTGTGCTTATATTGGTGACCATCCTTATATCTTTCAGGTTCAAATAATCACAAGCAGTCTGCTTTTTATTTTGGCACCAGTAACTACATAAACGTGGCATTTTATCCCATGAGTAGGAGAGAATAACAGTCTTAACTACTAAAGATTATTTTGACTATCCAAAAGGCAGCAGTCCTCTTATCTGGTGGGAGAAATTGTTTATTTTTGAACCTGCTCAGGCATTTCAAATATTAACTCTAAAGGTTGTTCAAGGAACAGAAAATCCTAATTAGTTTTATGGGAGGGAAACGCCACGAGGTTGGTCAGAGTGTCACAGCTTACTCTTCGATTGCAAAAACACGAATTTGTGTTTTGTTGTAGGTATACCACGCTCTCGTACAGAGCTCCAGAGATGGTCAACCTCTACAGTGGCAAACTGATCACCACAAAAGCTGATATCTGGGTATGTAGCCTCGGGATGGTGGCCCAAGGGAGTGCAGGAGTTGTGTTTCACCTTCCAAATTCTCTTTCTCTTCTGGCGTAGATAAGCCCATGTCGTTTTGGGATCACAAAATCAGAAAAGTTATGGCCAGGCAATATATAATGATAAAACGAGGCATATTTAGTGGTGTGCTTTATTGAAGTATTTTATGGAGAGAGGAGGTGTCAATATTTTATAGCATGTCATAAGAATAAGACTTGCAGTCTGCCTTTGTATTGTTCAGGCTTGTATGTTGCTTGGAATCTCTGATAATATGGTGAAGGTAGAAATAAACATTGATCAAGAGACGGCTGTAGGCGGGAACAAGGCATGGGAAGCGACTCCGCATGCCTTTATGATATGCAATTAATGCGTATTATTCATCCTGACTGGCACGCACGTTACACACTTCACATTCTAGCTGTGATGAAGTCATGGCACACATATCAAGCTTTGGGGCAGTTGACTCAAATCAGAAGAAAATCCCCTGAATCCCCCGGTCTTCTTTAGCTAGATTGATGAAGGGGACCGTGTTAGAAGAATTTCAGCAGCTAAACTCTTTCCCACTTAAAACCAACTCATCTTCTAGGTATTAGGCCAGAGGTCTCCAAACTTGGCAACTTTAAGACTTGTGGATTTCAACTCCCAGCCAAGCTGGCTGAGGAATTCTGGGAATTGAAGTCTTAAAGTTGCCAAGTTTGGCGACCTCTGTATTAAGCTTTGGTGATTTAATTCTTACAGGTTTTTTTTTTCTGTGAACAAGTAATGGAGAGGTTTTAAAATATGGCCCTGGCTTAGGGGAGCGGAGGGCAAACAGCAAGGAAGCCCAGCTCAGGAAGGGCTGTTTTGTGGCAAGTTGCTCTTTCCCTATCTCATTTTCCAGGAGATGTAAGGAGATTAATTATAAGTGTCTAATTAATCTGGGTTTGGATGAGCTGTGCTATGAGCCTGGAAGTGTCAATGTGCAAAAGTGTCTGTTTAATTCTTATCAGCCTGTGAATTGACCCATAAAGCTTCGTGACCTCATTCTACTTGATGCCTCTGGACTAAAGCCTTTTGAAAGGGTGGCTTGGAAAATCACATTAAATGGGGATGCTCTCAGGCTGCTCGCATGGCCTGCCAAACCAAGCTTAATGTTTACTGAGTTCAAGATCACACCCAGTCAAACCATATGACATAGTGGTCTACTACTAGTTGTATTTTAAATTGTCACTTTGTTGTTTGTATGTATACCGAGAGCTTGAGACAAATTCCTTGAGCGCCCAACCGCACTTGGCCAATAAAGAATCCATTTTCTAAAAGAGATGCTAAGAGACAGGAAGCTCTCGTGTAGCGGGAGGGATGAGCAGCGGCTGCTTCAATGAGACCCTGAGGATTGGCTAATCTCCTTCTTCCAGGCCCTGGGGTGTTTGCTCTACAAACTCTGCTATTTTACTCTGCCCTTTGGGGAGAGCCAAGTGGCGATTTGCGACGGCAACTTCACCATTCCTGACAACTCACGCTACACGCAAGACATGCACTGCCTAATAAGTGAGTATCCCCTCTGGAAGGGGAGACCGTTCTGTTCTTTTGGGTTTACAAGTTCTTCGTTGAAACAGCCTATGAAACATAGCTTGCTCTTGATGTCTTTCAAGCCATCTGTCAGGATTCCAGCATTCGCTCTAATTAAATCATGATTCTCCAGCCAAACTTCCATAAACTTCAAAGGATCCATTAGAGGCGACATACTGGCACTGCCCTGTATGCAGCCAACACCCGTCATTTACCATCCCTGGTGACCCTGTTTCCCCCCTCCTCTCTGGGTGTGTCATAAATCAGCTTCTCCAACTGAGTCCATTCACAGGCTGGGTGTCATCATTCACGTTATCCAATTAAATACATTTGTGGGCAAAACCTCTGGTAGTTCGGTTACAACCTTTTAAAGAAAAGAGTTGGAATGTACTTTCACTGTCCCCTCTTTTTATGGCAACTACTAAAACAAGCATAGGAATGTTTTATGAGTTGACAGCACCATTGTTTGGTGAGGCTGGCCTCGTCTTGGTTTATTTCTCAATGGACACTTCTGCTCCCTTTGTGTGGTTGCACCAGGGGATCAGGAGAAGAGGCAACCCCAAGTCCTCATGGAGGGATCTGGTCAGCCTGCTTAACTCCCTGTACCAAGGTTGAGGGCTGCCGTAGAGCAATCCAGTTAAGCCTGGATGCTGCTGTCTCCAACTAACCAACTTTCTCTTTTGTAGGGTACATGCTGGAACCTGACCCGGACAAGAGGCCTGACATTTACCAGGTCTCTTACTTTGCGTTCAAGCTGGCTAAGAGGGAATGTCCTGTCCCCAATGTGCAGGTGAGTGACATTTCTCTGCTGTGGGGCTGCAGGCCTTTTTCCCCAACCGTCAGAGGAAGGAAGAGGATGGTTTGCCAAGAGGCCGGAGCCCATAATAATAACAATAACAACAGCAACAATAGGCAAGCACTTAAAAACAATTGGCTCAAAAAGGAGATCCCGTGTCATTTCAGACAAAATGGCTCTCCGGTCTCTTCTTAAAAACATCCAGTGTTGGATAATCCACAACTTCTGGTGGAAATGTCTCTTCCACGGATTAATGGACATTTCTCCTCAGTTCTAGGTTGCTTCTCTCCTTGATTAGTTTAATGGCGTGGGGTTGCATTGTTGTTCTGTCTTGTTCTGTTAAGCGTTAATGAGCCCAGGGCTTGGTTTTGTTTTGTTTTTAATTTTCAGAATTCTCTAATTCCTGCCAAACTTCCAGAGCCTGTGAAAACTAGCGAAGCTGCTGCTAAGAAAACCCAGCCGAAAGCCAGGTGAGCTCACCTTTGGTCTGTTTTGGTGGGCGTGGCCAAATCCGCCTAATGGACACTAAGGTGCTAATGGAAGACCAAGTATTGACATGAGGGGACAAGGACTGGATTTTGCTGAAGAGAAAACGTGCAAAATGTAGGGCTGTTCCCAAAAGGAAGGGATGGCGCAGGCTGGTATTTCACTTCAGACTTCCTTTTCCTTCAGTGAAAAGCTTCTCCAGAATTTCCCCCTTTTTTTTTTTTTTGCAAAGTAGCACCTCGTCTGATTAACAATTGTTAATAATAAAAAATATATGCCTTTCAATAAAATTTATATGTTAACTAGCCTCCTGTTTTTTTAGACTAACACCAATAATAAATCCCTTTTTGAATTGTTTTAATAAAAGAAGGAAAAGATATCGTATAGGCTGAAAGGAAGACAGTATTCTCTTGTCCAGAAAAATGGCCTTTAAAATAGAAGTCGTCTTAGTATTGATGAGAATTAAGATAATAGTGGCACATGGAAGGTTTTATTGTGGAGGAAAAACCTGTTTTTCAGAGAAGATTGGTTTAAATTGAGCACCAACTGTTTTTTTTAGGTAAAGGGTACATCAAAATAAAAATGACACCAAAACTGACCTTTCGGTGAGAATGGGAGGAACTGAAAAACGAAACCTTGGAAAGGCAGAATAGATTTTTTTTATAAATAAGAGGAAAGAACTGAATTTAAAAAGGGATCCAAATTTGGTCCTGGGGAAAAAAGCTTGATAAGACATATATTATTAGATCTGTGTACCGCCCATCTCATCTAGAGGCGACATTCCAAAACAACAGATAAAAGTAGCTGGGTTTGCTGTCAATAATGGACCATGAAAAACATTGTAAAAGTTTAAAAATATTATTTATTTTATGGTTTGTATTGTATGCCTCCCCGAGTCACAATTTATAGGCACTCCTATAAATAGGACAAATAAAATAAATATAAAGAAGATACAGTGAGAAGCAGGTCAAAGCGACAAATTGAGGCCTAGATAACCTGAAATAACAAGAAATAAAGTCTTTTCTTCTTAACTCTAAATAAAGAACACAGAATTTCAAGGCCGATGTTAAGGATCAAAATTGTGGTTAGGCATTCCTGTCCTTCGCCTTTTTCTAGATCAGAGGTCTCCAACCTTGGCCATTTTCAGACTTGTGGACTTCAATTCCCAGCCAGCTTGGGAGTGGAAGTCCACAAGTGTTCCAGGTGGCCAAGGTTGGAGACCCCAGGTCTAGATGATCCAAACCCTCCTTGGTTTGCCCTTGTTTTTCTTGAACTGCCATCTTCTCCTTTTTGGAGGTACATCATTTCACCTGCTCCGTCTTCTCCCTTCTGTGAACTTCTCGCACTTACCTGGATGCCTTCTTATTGGAGGACATACCTTCTTGCGCTTACCTGGATGCCTTCTTATTCCCCCCCTTTGAGTCTCTGCTTGGTCTCCGTTGGATCGAACGTTTCTGGGAGGTTTAGCTGGTCTCCGTGTCCGTTGAAACATGGTCTTTGTGGGATATTCATAGCACTGGAAGGGAACCAAAGCAATTTAGAGGAATCTGGCCAAATCTGGACAAAGGTCCTTTTTATAGAAGCATCTACAATTGCACTCAACTCTGGCGGCTGTTTCCAAGTCAACTCGGGCGGATTTTTGCTTTCCCTTCCTTCATCTAAAAGTGCCTGTCTGAAACAGGAGGCGGCCTCCAAGCGTCAATGCATTCTGTGACTTTAGAGCACAGGGAGCGGGGAGGTCTCCAAACTTGGTGGGTTTTTGTGGACTTCAACTCCCAGAATTCCCCAGCTGGCCTAGGAGTTGAAGTCCACAAATCTTAAAATTTGCCCAGTTTGGAGACTCCTTGCTTTAAACCAGGGGTCTTCAAACTTGACAGCTGTAAGACTTTGAGGACTTCCAATCCCAGAATTCCTCGTCCAGTCATGTTAGCTCAGGGATTGTGGGAGTTGAAGTCCACAAAGTCTTAAACTTGCCAAGGTTGGACACCCCTGATCTACAGGACCAGGGCATCCTCTAAAAGAGTTGGGCCCACTAAAAGCAACTGGCTGTGATGTCCCTCAAAAGCAGCCATTATCCTAACCTCTTGTTTCGTATTATCTGTGGTTGACAGGCTGACAGATCCTATTCCCACAACAGAAACGTCCATCACACCACGCCAGAGACCCAAAGCTGGGCAAACGCAACCCAACCCAGGAATTCTGCCCATTCAACCTGCCTTGACTCCTAGGAAGAGGCCTGCAGTCCAAGCCAGCGTCCAGCCACAAGGTGAGAATCCTTGTTTGTTTAGTATTTATTTATCGCGGAACATGCTTGTTTCCCACCCAGCATCAAATGACTCTGGGCGCCTCGCAGCATAAAGACATTAAAAAAAAAACACATTAAAACCACCAGACATAAAATGGCAAAGTAGATAAATTGAGATCATTAATGCAAGATGCCGAAGGAAGGAGCTGAATATATGTGTGTGGGGGGGATTAGCTTTTAATTAACTTCCCCCCCATTGGCTCTCCAAGCCAGGTCTTCAGGCTCTTATGGAACCTCAAGAGGGTGGGAGCCAAACTCAGCTTAGCGGGAGGTAAGATACAGATACAGATTAACAGAGTTGGAAGGGACCTTGTAGGTCATCCAGTCCAACCCCACCCCCCGCCCAAGCAGGAGACCCTTTCTGACAGGTGGCAGTCCAACCTCTTCTTGAAAGCTTCCAGGGATGGAGCTCGCACCACTTTCTTTCTTTCTTTCTTTCTTTCTTTCTTTCTTTCTTTCTTTCTTTCTTTCTTTCTTTCTTTCTTTCTTTCCTTCCTTCCTTCCTTCCTTCCTTCCTTCCTTCCTTCCTTCCTTCCTCCTTCCCTCCCTCCCTCCTTTCCTTTCCTTTCCTTTCCTTTCCTTTCCTTTCCTTTCCTTTC